AGCGTTCATGTACTACGAACCTGCTATTTACACGCAATAGCTGGACTGAAGCAGTTGATGGTGGAGCAGGCGTCGATCTTATTTACTTGGGTATCACAAAAGCGTTTGATCTCTTAGACCACCGAATTCTCCTTCATAAACGTCAGCTCTATGGCGTTAGTGACCCACTCTTGCGTTGGATAGGTAATCTACTTCAGGAACGTCGGTTGGAAGTGAGAGTACGAGAATCTTTGTCTGACACAAATGAGGTGTAGTACGGCGTACCACAAGGCACGGTGCTCAGGTCCCGGCTACTCTTGATTTTATTAAAGTATCTGGTCAGGTAAATTAATTCCGATTTCCTAATCTCCGCGGATAAAATCAATTTATGGCCAGCGATCAGAGAAGCGGACGACCACGAAGAGCTACAGCGTGACATCAACACGATTTCAAACTTTTCCGTTCTGAATGCACTACTGTACAATTTGGAAAACGTGTATAGGCTTGGGTCACACGTATTGCAAACAACTACCCAAGAACACGACTTTGATGTGCTCATTCAAAGTGACCTTAACTGTTCAAAGCAGTCCGAGACAGCTGTGAAGAGAGCCAACCAGCATGTCGGCTTGTTGCGGAGAGCATTCGGAAGTTTCGAACTATCTATCTTCTCCATGATGCACAAATCTTACGTGTGCCCTTACGTTAATTACGCCATCCAAGCTTGGCAACCTTGGCTGAAGCGCGACTTAAAAGTGCTAGAGAAACCACAACTCACGGCCGCAAAGAGGGTCAACGGTCTATGAAAGCTGTCCTACAATCAAAGGCTGAGGTCCCTGGGAGTTTGCAGTGGCGGCTACTGAAGGCTGCGCTGCGACCTCATATTAGTCTACCAAATATTGAGTGACCATAATCATGTATGCCGTCACTTGTTGAAACTCAGCCAAGACGCCAATCTCAGAGGTAACCCTCTGAAATTGTGTGCACAGTTTAGCCGCCTGGAATGCCGGCGGAATTATTTTTCTCTTCAGTTTTGCCAACCCAGAAATTCTCTCCCCAAACTCCGTCGTTTCCTCCCCCAACTTGCATATTTGCAAAACAACGATTGGATCTTGCCCTTGGCCTTCATCACTTCGTTGGCTAAACTGTGCTACTTTGGAATATATTAATTATCCCTTCAAGCCGGATTAATATTTCACATAAACCTGAGGAGACGGTACAGAAGTGTGTATTCTCGTTTTTACTTCTCACGGAGTACATCAACTATAACTGTCCCCATGTTGCCCCGTCGTTGGTATTCACTTCCCACTTACATTGCTATTATTCAGCGGCGTATCTGCTGGATAAACGCTCGAAGAAACAATAAACATATCTTTTTATATTGTAGTTTTACCCCCACCATTCTGCAGGAGTTGTCAAGCAACTGCTCTCTTATCCGATCATAAATCATTGTTCAAGTGTTATATAAATTATGGCCATCAAAACTACACATAATTATAAATGTTTCACTGTCTGGACAATTCAGGCACTAATTTAGAATCCGTGAGGTGGTATTTAAAAGCGGACACCATTACTTCTATACAACTGCTATGATCCAACGGCTACTAATGCAATCCTGTACTGACACACACAAGCACTGAAATCTCACAAAGGGACACAACACAGCTCATAGACGGAACGAAGACTTCGCTTCCAATTGATAACCCTAGCTTCAACAAGGTAGAAGACAAGGCCTCCGAACGAGATCTGTTATGAAAATAGCTTAGGCTTCCGTCAATGAAACACATGGCTGGCGGCGTCCGGTTTAGTATTTTATTATCATTGCGGCTTCCATAGGAGAGCCACAGGACCTACAGAGGGACTATGGGTAGCTTGCGCTGCATCAGGCACAGCTCTATCCGCACACCCCATTTCCAGCGTAAACCCGAAGGAATAAGAACCGGCGGTAGGTGGATGAGAGACACGTTCCATCAACGGAGCCGGCTAGCTTGCACAGCAGTAGCATTCCTATCTATGTGTGGAATCATGCGTACCAGACGTACACACTGCGGTCGCTGGACCGTAGTTCGCTCCACACTGAATGTAACCACTCTCTTAGCTTGGCACGGCCACCAGTACTGTACATCCATCCCCCAGCAAAAATTAGCCCTCTCCTGGAGCTGTAGTTGTGGTGGTGGGCGTTAGACGGGTAGGCACATTGTTAGTATTCACATCAAGTGCAGCCACACCAAGGATATAAAGCAACTAGCATAGAATTTGAAAGAAAATAACCACGCAAAATTGACATGGGACATGCAGCAGAATAATAGAACTGAGTCAACCAAGTAAAGTGGAATCCTTCTCATCCAGATGGCGGCTTGCGAAGGAAGTTGTTGCTCTGGGGACCAGCCCTGTCCTCTGCACACCCATAAGATGCAAGACAATGGAGGATGAGCCGCGCTATATCGCAGTTAGATATCAGTATGGCGGTCAGCTGCCATCGCCCATGGCTCAGTGACATAAGTCGCTGACTCGCAAGAGTAAGGTCGTGGGTTCGAATCCGGCCGGATTCGGCGGGTGAGCGCAACTGCCGAGTCCTAATACGACGAAACGGCCGTCTAGCGCTTTCCTGGATGTGTGGTGGCTGTCTGCCTGTGTCTAACTGCGACGAATCTACACAAAATGATCTAGTTCAAGTCGGTGTGGCTTAACTGCGGTGAAGAAGCCTGGTGTAAGCAGCAACCTCGGCATGAAGCGCACCTGGTCTTCTAACGGCCTTGTGAGATTGGACAATCTTAGTCCGGGCCAGAGGCGGAAACGGAATTACGCGCGCCATAGTTTAGAGAAAAATGACGCCTACTAATCATTCCACACTTTGGTTGACTCCAGTGTAATTCTTGTGAAACCTGGTGTTTTTCCGTCGATAAGTCGGCTCAGAGGATGCAATACTGATAATGGTGGAGAATCTGTATTAGCTGAAATATTTATGGTTCCTGGGATCTGCATGCGTTTGTATTACCGCAGGACAAATCATCAACCAAGCCTATGTTGATCATCGTAATTCAAAGACAACTTATTCCAAATACTCAACAATCAGAGCGGTAACTTCTCAGATAAGCTTTGCTCCCGCAACCTAGTTTCCGAGTGAAAGCGCTATGGGGAACACGCACGTGCCCACCAGACTCCGGAGATTTGTTCAAGGCGCATTGTATGTGTTTTTCACGCGAAAGATCACATGCAGGCGCGAAGTTCGCCTTGTGACTGCTCACATGTTTGCACCGATATCAATCTTCGTCTACAGTGTGTGATTTGCCTTATGGGGTGACACACGATAAAGTACGAAGGTACAAAAGCCATTTTCCTTTTTCTGTATCACTAAAAGCTTTCACTCTAAAGGTCAGTCTTCTATTCCTTGGCTAATGGTTCAGTCATGATGTTTAGTGTTTGTTTCTTCCGTGCTTGATTACTCTATTGGATAACTATCGTCGTTGTCGTCCTAGACGGGTGCATGTGACGGTAAAGTTGGTGTAGTAACAAGAGAGCAAACCACATTAAGAGCCAGACAGTGTGATTTCCTGGTTCCTAAGTTGTTGAGATGCTACCTGAGTGCTTACTCCTAAGTAGGTGGGTTAGCAGGGTTCTATCGCCCAGAGGTTCTAAGTTGAGCTAAACCAACAAATTGTACTCGCATTTCACACTAAATGTGGGGAACCTTGGAAAGATGGTCATTTGACTTATCCAAATAGAGGCGCCACGAAAAGGCTGATGTGGTTACTCAGCTCATTTGGTTCCAGGCTCCATACAAGGCTAGCACAAGGTGGAAAACGGGCTTATCTTAAGAGTATTGGTTGGATAGTCACACAGCCAGACAACAGCCTATTAAGAAGTCTGGTTTTTAGACAAGGGTTCTTGAGGCAAGAACAGTAATTTTATTCAACAGTTGATTTGCATATTAAAACTTCGTAAATTTGGAGTCACCATCCACTTCCATCCAGCTTCACCGGGTGACTGCAGGTTAGAAGGTGAAAGCATATGCTGTTCGAAAAGTGCGCTACTAACACCAGCTACAGATACCGACGGTAAACTGCCTCTCGAAAATCGACAAATTGTGCGGTTCATTAAGCTGGATGCCATATAAAAACATTTAGTTTTTTCCCCAACACTTTGCAGCCTATTTCTAGAGCGAACTGAAATCATTTTATAACCGATTTAAAGAGGTTATTGGACGTCTTGTGCACAAATATCCCATTATTGCTTCCTGATCTGTTCATTCAAAACCTACAACTATCGTCCCGATGAATTGATATGCTGTTATTCCCTCTCCCTCGTCCGTCCGGATTTTGCTCTCCTGCTTGTAGTGAGCTTGTCTCAAGATGGATATAACCATGCTAAAGTCAATTATCCATGTTCGTCAGCGTCTGCACATACTAACGGGAAATTTGAGGTCTAAGGAGAACTTCTTCAAGGAATTAACTGCGATGAAGATATTGCGTGCATACAAAGTGGCATTGTTCAAATTGCAACAACCTAACCCATTATCATGAATAAACCAACAAAATCTGACGGTACACTAATGCTGCGGTACCAGCGTCTCAACTAATCCTACTTCCGTGGGAGGTAATGCTAAAGAGGGGTCAAAACCTATAGCAAGTAGCATGTTTGATGCAAAACTGTGACATCGCTTTCGCCCATTTTCCCTCTCCATCTTTCATTTTCGTTCGTTTTACTAAGTACTCAACTGGTAACAGTTTGTGCTGTTGGTAACTCATCAACGCTTACGTACATTCGCATGGCTCTCCGCTGATACACATTTCCAAACGTATGCCACGTTCGTTCGCTCCACTAGGCTTCGGCACTGTGTTTATTTGTGCTGCATTCTTACTCGAATCAGCATTCCCTGCACATTTTAACCCATTATTAGATTTAGTATACTACCCATTCGGAACAAGGTGTACTAGAAAATAGGAAAAGTAGGTACACATCTACCTTGTGAAAGCAGCACAAAATATGATTAATAGACCTTGTCACCGGTACACTGTACTCACTGCTTTTTGTGGATTGCGTTGTACTTGGCAGTTTTTGTGACATCAGTCTGCTTCGTTTGCACTTCAGTGGGAAGTGTACAATGACGTCGTGTACTTACCAGCTCGTCGTCATCCGTCTTTGAGCGTGCATCTGCCTTAAGTCCTTTGGATTGAGTCACCTGCGGAACAGGTCCTTCAGAGTTCCAGATGTTGAGTCCTGGATAAATCTAAGTAGGGATAGTTAGGTTTGGTTATCGTACATAAAGCCAGTCGTTACGTTTTTAAAAGCCGAATGGCACTGTGGGTCTGAATGACGATATTTCTCTGTTGAAAAGATATTGATGGTTTGATTCCTGTCGACTGGTGAAAAATCCTTATGTGTGGTTGACAGATAATTGCATTTTAGAAAATCCCTTTTTCTATTTCTGGCAATATTTGAAGAATTACTTGATTTTGGGATTGTCCACGTCGTCAAGTTCACTATTGTACTGAATAACTGGTCTGATGTTGCTTGTGTAACCCGATCCATGTAACTGTATGCTTTTCGGTTTAAACAACTCCCAATGTTTTCCATAAGCAGACTGATATGATGTGCTGTAGTGATGGTATGTATCGAAGTGTGCTTCTATACGATCCATGCGATGACGTTCGAACGTAGTACTATGGTTTGACAAAATCTAGAAGAGAAAGGCTGCATTGTTACTGTATAATTCCTGATGTGGTCAATAACCTAGCTAACGTAAATGTCTAGTGATATATAGCTACTCATGAGCCCAGTCAGTTATCTACTGTCACCAACTTATATATTAAGATTATCAGGAAACAGTAGCCAAAAGATGAGTGAGCTGAACATAGGCATGCGATCTGTTTTTGGATGTATCAGATTCTTTCATGGAAACCTATATAAGAATCGGGGTAGCGCTCTCAACCACACTGCATGTATCGGAGCTTAGTTTTGCAAGATATCAGGCCACATAACAAGCAGACAAAATTTTACACATGTTCGCCAACAGTGGCGAACTGCGACAGAGCTTAGTACCTCAATCCGTTTATTCATTTGGATCTTTACATATGTGAAATTTATGAGATGCGCGATGACCACAGGAGAATACAAAACACTTATGAATATTGTAAATCGCAAAATAGATTGACATGAGCGAAAATATCGGTGCATCGACAACACCAGACTAGAGTGGTATCGGAAGCATCGTTTAATGGCATTTGCAGCAGTTGTCTTCAGCTAATTTCCTTTAATGAACTGCCTCTGTAAATCATATTAATAGATATGCTTAGATCAAGCTGACTAAGAAATTAACGTATTTGGTTTGCCGTTTTATATATACTTTAATGGATAATGCTCATTTTTAAGCGTAACCGTGGCAGTCGCTCTGATTCGACGCTCTTGCTTTCTGCGGTCCATCCCTCAACAATTTATTGCAAATCGTTGAGCTCACATTTATTTGACACGGATTTCTATACAAGGTGCATAATTATCTCCAGGCTTATTCTTATCGTTTCAATGTCTGATTTACAACTGCGTTAGCGGCGGATTCTGTTACTGCAAGGCAACAGTGCAGTACTCCAGTTTCGAGAAACTTTGCAATTTTCCACTCGTTCTAAAGAGCTTTCTTGAAGCTATCAAGTCAACCAAAAATCGTTCTTCTCCAATACGTTTGCGGTAGTTGCCTCACATACCTTAGAACTTTGCTTCCTGCCCAGCATTCCTTTAAATATATACATAAATAGTATATTAATTGAGGTTCTTCGCATCCAGCTTCCAAATCAAATAGTATGATTCCGACAATGCGAGGCTTGCCTGGACGGGCATGATCGTATTAATGCTAACACGTATGATCGGCAACGATATAATAATGTTGCAGGTTTAGCAGTAGCATGCTGAATCTATGCAGTCTATGTGTATGTAAGTATGCAAGAATGTTTGTATCTGTGTTGCTTGAAATTTTAAACTTGAAGCCGCAGTTGTGGTTGTGTTCATTGGGGCCGTTTGTTTGAGAAGTGTCGTCTGTTAAGCGAGTAACGTCATGTGAATACACAAAAATTGATCGATCACCCAGTCAATCGCCACTACTTGTGATTTTGTCAACCAGTGGCGCCGGCCTAACCCATCCCACCGACCAGCGCAGCCACATCGCCCGCTCCACGAGCGTTTCCAATCACCGCTCATCTGACAGTGGTGTGCAACCGACCAGACTCACGACAAGGCCCGACACATTCAATCCGCCAGTCGTAAGCCATATCATCTAGTGTGCGTGCTTTGATGCGTTTGTGTCAGGTGCCCGCCTAGCCCACAGAACATTCGTCAAGCGTGAGCGCCATTACTACAGCAACGGCTCGGAAACACCGCGCTGTAAACGACAACATTGTGGAGAGCATTCAAAACATGCTGCAACATCGCATATACCCTTTAGAGAGTTGCTATAAAAGGGGTAACCTGTTCTAGCTGTATTAGACCGAACCATCCCCAATGTACAGGAAAATCCGATTAAGAAGCAAGGCAGATAAACAAAGCTGCGTACACAGTGTGGTGTTGTCCATGTCAAGTTATTCCAGTTGTCAACTGTTTATCTGTGCCTCTGAAGAAGTAGGATACGTTGACTGAGATAATCGTGCATACAGTGTATGCTAAGACCGCTCCATTGGAGGTAAATGTAACCACGCTAACACCTTAATCAACCAACGCAAGCCCCGCCTCTAGGCCGAAGAAGAGAGCCAGATGCTCTAACCCGCACTGCGCCGACTGTCTTGGACTGTTGCAATTCCGAGATAATTCCCGAAGACGACATCAGAAACAGAAAGTAGAGAAAAAGCTGGTTTCCATGGCTTCTTCATCAGGCTAATACAATCACAATAAAGCAAGGTAGAATGGACGCAATGGGCTTAAATTGGATCCCTGAAGCAGAGTAACTACTCGATAAGTTTACGTACTTGTTCTGGTTGTGGCGAGGTCAGATGAAATGGTCTGACTGTCAATGTTAGTCGCGTTAGTCTGAGGCCAAAGCAGGGTTAAAGTATGGAAGAGTTTTGTCTGTGCACATAAGTCCGGGTTATACAACCAAATTGTGATCATTCAGCATCCTGTGAAATTTCTTCATGGCAAAACTTCGGCCAATGCCTCCTTCTTGATTTGAGTGTAGTTTCATTCGGCTTTCGTCAGCATCCTGGCTGCATGTGCGATCGCTTCCTGAGATTCATCTGGGAACGTTTGGGAAACTACGGCACCGATCCCTAGATTCGAGGCCCCTGTGGCGAGGACAATTTCTCGGGACGGGTCAGAGTAAGTCAAAAGTAGGTCTGAAGCCAGCAGTGACTTGACCGGCTCGGGCGCAGTCTGGCTTTCTGGCGTCCAATTCCAGATTTGTCACTTGCTCAGCAACTTGTTCAGCGGGGCACGCAGGCGATGCCGTTCGGGCAGAAAAACGCTGTAATTATTAATTAGGTCACAGAATGAAAGCAGCGATTGCAAATCCGCAGACAGGGGCATCATATGAATAGCTCAGACACTTTCTGGATCAGAGCGACGACCGTCGTTTGCGCAAATGAAGCCGAGGAACTTAATGTTTAATGTGACATATGTACACTTGTCTTCACGGATACGGAAAACCATAGGACTGCATGCGTTCAAGTACTTCAGCGAGCCACTCAAATAGTTCTTCTGCCGTCCGACCCATTAAAATGATATCGTCCAGGTACGCCGCGTCTCCAGAAACTCCCGCGAACATGGTGTCCAGCAACTGCTGGAAGATGGCCGGTGCTGTTTTCACTCCAAGCTTGGTGAACAACTTCCCACCATTCAGCTTAGTAAAGATATCCTCTGGTATCGGAAGAGGGTACTGATGGTCTTCCAGTGCGGCATTCAGGCCAGTCGAATAATCAGCGCAGACATGCACTTTACCGTTCGGCTTTCTCAAAGCAACGAGCGGCGCAGCCCATGAAGAGTAATTCACTGGTGTGATGACACCGGCTCGCTCCAGTCGGTCCAGTACCTGATCAACTGCTACCACGGCTGCATACGGTACCGGTCATTTTACTGTGAAGACTGGCTTGGTTCCTTCGCGAAGGCACAACTTTGCGTTGAACTTAGTGAAGTGGCCGAGACCATCTTCAAACAAGGAGGCAAACTACGGCATTCGCTTTTTCGTCATGTCTTCTATCGACAATGACGCATGGACTGGATAGGTTTGGATCCGATGGCAAATCCGATAGATTGGAACATAAAACAGTTATAACTTTTCCATCCAGTCAAACCCAAGGAGGTTCAAGTTTCGTCGGTCACAAAACCATAGACTGTACTACAACGTGCGCATCAGCCACCATTACTGCTTCTCACATTCACGCGACTTCATCACACGCCAATTGTTTGTTTGCTAACAGTTCTCACTTTCCGTTACCCGATTCAGGTGTTCAACCATCTGGATGCGATTCCGGTTGTGCCGCGGACTAAGGAGTTTAACTTATGGCTCTCCTTCGTCCCCGATCCTCGTTCCGTCTAATGTACTTCAACGTTCAGACACGCATGTAGATTGGACAGCAAGCCGGTCTAGCGCGCACCCTAGATTCCCTCGACATTGATGTCTGCTGCCTTTCAGAAACTCGGTTGCAAGATCCCAGCACTGCGCTTACATTGACATTCCCCAGCGACCACGAAGCCAGATTTCACCTGCGTCTTTCTGGAGATCCAGAAGCAGTCTCAGCGGGCTTGTCTGGTGTAGGTATAGCACAAAGTGGCAAGGCCGAGGCGGCACTACTGGACACTGGTTTCCGATTAACAGCCGACTATGTGCAGTTCGACTTCGGGGTTAATGTAGAATCATGGTAGAAATTCATGGTTTTCTGTTGGCTCTGTGTATAGTAGCTAGACTGCTGAGATTACTACGACTACTGACCGTCCTTTCCTAGGAATTTCTGGTAGTATGCGTACCCCGATCGATGAGCTGCGAAGGCGAACTGCTGAGAGTAGGACTATCCGTCCTTTTAGTGGAATTCAAGGTTAATCGTAGTAATCGGGGTTCGCCGTAGTGTACTGCATTTGGGTGGCGCGCTACACGCCGTAGCCCAGTTGGGTCAACCAAAATACCAATTGCATCGCAGATGAAATGCCAGTGGTTGGTATCAACTAATAGCTTACACATTAGTTTTCCCGAACTGGACTCAGAAACATTAGTGCACACCACCGTTAACGCACTCCAGTTCTGTTTAGCAACGGTTGGTTTGAGTGATGTGCCTGGTAACTTGGATGGTTTGGCTGGCACTGAAGATGGTTGCGAAAACAGCGGCGCATCGCTCGTGCTTGGTCCAGAGAATGGACGTACGGGTGTCTCTTTAGGCGTATTCATCGGAGATCAATGCGCGTGTTACTCGGCTCTGGGATGTCGGTGTCGGTGTTGTGAGAATCTCATAAAACGTGGCGTCTAGGGATGAGTTAATAGCAGTAACGCTGGATGTGTCTTGCTTACTTACTTGCTTTAGCGGCGTCCATATCCGGACTTGCCTGTCACTGTGACCCCCATGGGGACAGTCACTGGACGCCTGCGCCTACAGAGAGCCACGGGTGGCTTGCGCTGCACCACCCAAAGTTCCACCCATACACCCATATCCGGTGCAAACCCAAAGGAATAAGACCAGGAAGCATGTGAATTGGAGCCACCTATCATCAACGGAGCCGGCCAAACCCCTTT